GGGCCCCGGGGCCGCCGCTTCCCCTGACGCCGCTGACCCGGAAGCGCCGCGCGGGCCGGAAGCGGCGGCAGGCGGTGCGCAGGCGCCATGGGGCGGGCCCGGCCCCCCCTCTCCGCCCTCCCGCAGCCCCCGCACCGGGCATTGACGATGAGCTCCTCCGGCGGGGCCCGGCTGCTGTCCCACCCGCCGGGGAACGCGGGGCAGGGCCCGCCCGGGTGTGTGTGTGGGTGTCGCGGCGCACGGCAGCGTGCCCGAGGGACTGACAGAGGCTCCGGAGGCGGCAGCAGAGCGCAGGCCGTGCCAGGCCCTTTATTACCGATACAGACCGAGCTCCGGCGGGGCAGTCACAGCGGTACCGGCGCTCCCCCGCGGGGGTTACAGACACAGAGCTTCCCCCGGGCCCCCCCGCACCCGCTCCCCCCGCAGCTCCTGCAGAGAAAGGCCGTGCTCCGAAAAAAACCACGTTTATTCATATATCTCTATATCATTTCAAGTAAAATATCTTTTTACCAAAATACGATATACAGGCACAGGGCTGTGAAATAACTTTAAACCAATTCACTATAAAATTACTTTTGGTAATAAATACTCTGCTCCTCAGAGAGGCGAGAGGCTGCGTGTCCCCGGGCAGAGGGGCTGTGGGGGCCGCGCTCCCCCCTCTCCCTCCTCCTCCTCGCTGCGCCTTGGACAGGGTAGAAGCAATTTGTGCTTTTCAGGCTGCAGGGGGGGCAAACCCCTGCCCCGGAGAACCCACTCGGGACTGAGAAGCGAGAACAAACACGTGCTGAAAGAAATCTGCAAAGGGAAGGGGGCAGATACCCACATGGGGGTTTATTCGGGATGGAGGAGCCGCTGCCACCTCAGTAAGTCAACAGGAATGCAGAGACACCCCTTCATCCTCCAAAAGATCTGTCAGAACTCAATCTCCTCTCTCGGCAGTTAACAGTTTGGAGGGAGAAAGAAAAGCATAGCTTACTTTTTTAAAGCAGATACGTGTCTGGTGTTCTCTTCCCCTGCTCTACTTGTGGATATTCAGATCTTCAAAGCACTTGCAATACCTTTGGTCACAGAAACAGTGTTTCTCTCAAAGTCAAAGATGTTAAAAACGTAAGAGAGCCACCTCTGGAATGTATCGTCTCTCTGCTGTGGAGATTGGTGCCCTGTCCTCTGCGCCAGCGTCCCTCACGCAGGGGCCGACCAAAGCTGGTCCAATGTCACCCGGTGGCACAGAGCAGCTTTCAGCCCCAGGAATTGGGTTTTCTCCCTCGTTAGTAAGATTTCTCTTGCTGTTACTGCCTGCGGAGCTCCCTCGGTCCTGGGAGCAGCAGCCACCGCGGATCCGCTGCCGACACCGAGCAGCCGCTTTGCAGGGAACGGGCAGGACTAAGGGAGGGCTCTCCCATGCTACCTTTGGTGACCTGGAGTCAGAACAGCTACTGAAGAATCTAACAGAGATAAAGCTTTTACAAAAGAAGCCTCAAGACAAAAGAAAAGTTGTTCAGACAGATTCCAAGCTTCTTAGGTTTTGGGAAAAAGCAGACGTAAGCACGGATGGAGTTACAGCACAAGGAGGGCGCGGGGCAGGGGAGGTGCTTCACAAGAGCGTGCCAGGGATGGACCTCAGAGTGGCACTTTCATCCCGTCCCTAGAGGAGAAGCCTGACCACAGCTACTGAACTTGTAGCTTTCAAAGATCCTAATTTGCAGCCTAATTTCCTGTCCCTTCCATCTATTTCCTATCATTAAAAGACATCTTTGCACATCGCCCTGGGGAATAGTCTCAAGGGGCTGAGGAAGTCACAACTGGATGGATGTTTTGGTGAACTACCCAAACAAACCATCCTGAGGCTTCTCACAAAAGCCCTCCCGGGAGCAAGTCCAGTTTGCACAGCTCACACAAGTTAGTGCTCCATTTAGTTTGTGCATGAAGCAAAATGACACGTGACATCCCAAGAGTAGTTAAAAAACAGAGCGTTAAAAACTCATAACCCTTTCTCCCCTCTCACTCTTACTTTGAGAAGTCAAAGAGGCAAAACCAAAAGGCCACGGCAGTAACTCTGGCCAGATGTTCCACAGCCAGTTTGAAGAGGAGCACAAACAGAGGTGCCTCTCGTGGGAGCAGGACTCATTTGAACACACCACATGCGTAGGCAGGGAGCCAGGGCAGAAGTAGTCCAGGAGGGACACATTCAGTCCAGGTCACATTCTCCTCTCAATATATAACACACAGAATTTACCCCTTTTATTGGGTATTGCTGGGTGGTGGCAAGTCTTCACCACTAGAATAAGCAACAAGGATATATGGAGAAAGGGAGAGCAAGACAAGGGGGAAGGCATTAAGCCTGAGAAGAAAAGGGTTTGTTCTCACATAAAAATGGTTCAGTCTTTGCTTCGCTTCCACAGTGAGGACTGCTAGATACATAAACCAAAGGTTTCTCAGTACATACAAGCATACATCGAGAAGGTACCTACGACCATAGCACACGGCACACAGTAGCACAAGTTTAGAATGACTTAGTAAGTTCAAACAAGACAAGCTTTTACTTGGAGGGGAAAATATCAATATTTTCATCTTGAATGCAGTTGCTTTGGATGGGAAGGGATGGTGCTGGCTCAAAATCCAAGACCAGATACTCATCCTATCTGCAGCCAGAGCAGACAGAGGGTATCAGCCTCTCGCTTACAAAGTACAATTCCGTACTCCTACCCACACATCAGGAGTGAAATCTTTACCTTTGCCCATCCTGGCCAGCAGTGTACCTTCTGAACCCGAGATCAGCAGGCAAGAAGAGAACGAGGGACCTCAAGAATGATTTCCAAGGCCTTACGTTCTCCTCCTACATTCTGCCTTCTTCAGGTTTTTTGTTTTCTAAAAAGCGCATTCTCCTCTGATTAGACCCACCTTGGGAACAAGCAAACAGAACCTCTTCTGAGGGCTGCAAGGTGGATTAGAAGCCTCTCAGATCACAAGCAAGGACTCCTTGCTTCAGCCCAGCTAAAGTGAAGACTGGGTCTGCCGAGGCTTTCCCAGCTAACGAGCAACATCCCACACAGGTTCACCAGCCCACGCCGATGGAATCATCATCACTCCTATGCTTAGAAACAGCATATTCTTTTCCAGATACACGGAACCAAAATAAGAATAGCTTCATCAAAGCAAAAGCTTAAGCAAAACAAAAGCATTTGGTTGGAAGGCAGTGAGCTGGGGAAAACAGAATTCCCCTTTTCCATGCAGGTTGGAACAGCAGGCAGGGTAACAGGTAACCCCTCTCTCACTTGCTGCTGCATTAAAGGCTTTCTGTATCTTTAGCTTCTACATAGGATTCTATGTTTTAATAACTGAGGACCTCCTGCCAGAAAGAAAGGCAGATCCTCAGCTTCACAGTTGAGAACACAGGAAGTATCACTGTAGCACACACAGGAGTATTCGTTCCCGGGGCTGACTAAGGCCTCCTGTACCCGAAATCGGTTATTAATTACTTCAGGGTCCAGGCCGGAGACCTTGGAAACAACAAATTACAATGGCAGAAAAGCCATAACCTTTACTACAACCACAAATGCTCTGTAACACCTTGTGGAACGCACCCACCATGGCGTATGTGTGTATATATAAATTTTGTATATAGACATTGTACTGTTTCATTCTTTTTAATACATATACAAGTACCTGTACATATATACATATTTACAATTTACACCAGCCAGTAGATGTATGCGTATTGTACATATACACACAAACGCCTAGAATACACATGCACACACACAAACACACACTCTTTAAAATAAACTCCACATCCCAGGTAACAAAGTCCAAAGAAGAGCAGCACCAAGTGGTGGGGGCTCAATATACCAGCTTCAAAACTGCTCAGAACAAACACTAGTGATCATGACATTTTTTACACTTGGGAAATTGAAGGATAGATGGCCTAAGCTTCAGCCCAGCTGCAAAGAACCTTCATGCAAACTTCCCAGCTACACTCCAGCAATTCTCGCTGTGCCCTCCTCAGCTGGACGGGGTCCATCAGTGCTGCTCTGCTGCTACTCCAGCTGACTGGCTCCTGCCCTGTGCGATGGCATTGCAAACAGACATACCATAATACTATGGTAGTCATCATGTTCTGTATTTTTTTTTCACCTAAAAACAGAGACATGGCTGGGGTTCACCACAAGAGCACTGATCAGACCCGTCCTTTCACTCCTTTTCTAGCAGCCCATGGAACGGTCAAAATGGTCTTTTTCCTTTAATAGTCTAAAATATTTTTGGTTCCTTCTCCTTGCTCAGACCTTCACCCTCAGGGGTTGCAGGTCCTCCAGCTCTGCGAGGAAGGCAGTGCCATCCAAATGACCCCACAAGCACTTTTCCCCTGTCAGAACAGCCTTCCCAGCAAGGGCCTTCACAAAGGCCACCGCGCTCCCTAACGTGCCCGGGCTGAGTGTCACAGGCTGAGGAAGCCAAACAAAATTGCAGCCCCTTAGTTTTAGTGGGTCAAAGCTAGGACTAAGGTGCAGTGACGGGCATGCAAAGCGTTAACAGGGCTTTAGGGCAGCACCTGCTTTGTTTAACCTGCAAGAGGAGCACCAGCACCTCTCCTGGGGATCCAGCACAGATGGGGCACACAAAGGACTGATAGGAAGGGCTTGTTTTCAGCACCGTAGGGGATGTTCTTCCAGTTCCCATCAGGGACTGGTCACACTGAGAGCTCCACACATTCCAGCCCCACGTGGGAAGGAGGGATAACTCCTGCTGGAAATGTAAGAATTTCTGTCTAGTACCTCAAAATTAAGAATGCCCTCTCCTCCTGGAAAATTGTGGCAGCAATACAAATGGCAAGATGTCCCATATTACAGTGAGAGCGGGGGATTGGCTTGCTTAGTTTTGTAATTTGTTAATCTGCTTAACCATCTACCCAACCGGGCAGAGTGGAGATTGTGCCCTTGGCCAGCAGTACAAAGTTCATATACAAAATTGCTGTGTCAAATTGATAGGGAGCATTAAGTATCTTTACAACTTCAAACCCACTGCTCCAAATGCAATTAATTGTCCACAGTTTTGTCTACTCACTTGCCTAAGACTGAAAAAATATATTTGTTATGAAGGACTCTGTTTTATTGCTATTGTTGGTTTGCACTGTGTGGTTCCATCTTTACCATTTCAAATCCAGACTCTTTGGGGATAAAATATTGTTTTTCTATTGATTTTTTTTCCAATTTCTTAAAATTGTATAAAAATAAAGGATTTCCACAAACGTGGGCTAAAGGTAACGAATAATACTTCTTATGCTTAGGATCAGCTGTTGGAAATGTGGTCAGTAGCCACAAGACCAGAAATAAACCTCTAGTGATTCTTTAGTTTAACATTTAAAAGACATGAAAACTTCTGCTTATAAAATTGACCCCATACAGAATGGAACAGCTAAACTAACAGCTGTTTATTATTACTTCTTAAAATAATGGTCCTAAATTTAAAAATAAAATCAAATACTTTCTTTTATGATTTTCACATTATAAAACTGCACCATTCAAAATCTGTGGCCAGGGAAACCCCTTTGCAATAAGACAGTTTCTTTTAATAGTCATCGAGGGTGTTTTCCAGGAAAACATTCCTAACATCCAGTATGGAAGCCAGCTCCAAAATGTGCTTTTGGAGGTGAGGGTTCTCCACCGTTTCATCTCTTGGCAGCTGAGGATAAGATTCTGGATAATTTCGAGTCTCCTGCTAGATAACAGTAAAACAAAGAGAATCAGACATTCATTTATTGGTACTCCCTTTACGCAGAAGATGGCAAAAGGCCCATTTCACTGGAGAGGTAGCCTGATCTGTTTACATGCCACAAAGAGAAAACATTCTAACATTTTCAGTTTTCTCTTTCCATTGACTCTGAGATAGTCATAGTGGCAATGGAAATACCCATTCATCTCAGACGATTAATAAGTTCACAGAAGCCTTGCAAAAAATAGAAAAAAAAACCCAACCAAAAAAAGGACAAAAAGACTTCACACACACTTACCTATTAGGCTGGGGTTCATTTCTTGAAATTACAGAGATATAACCATCTCCCCTGGGAGATTCATCTCATCCTAAAACGATTATCTAAGACACTGGGGCAAATCCCTCCCCGTTAGCAGAAGATCTGCTTCCCTCCCTGGGTACCCAGCAGCCCGGGCAGCTCGCTCAGGCCAGGAAACCTCCTCTGGCTGCAGCCAGACCACACGGACACTGCACCTTTCTGTGCTCTCACTTCCACACTTCTCTGTAACATTTAAAATGGAGCAGGCAGTTTATAAGCCAACGCTCACATATATAAAATGGTGTAGATTCAGAAGCAGACTTCACTGTTGGCACAGTGTTAACCAACAGGGAGGCAAAATACCATCTTCCTGCTTAGCTTATTCATTTGCACTTCAAAGACCTTTCCAAATCCATTCATGCTAGAACACATTCCGGCAATAACGTTCCACTCCTCCCCATTTCCTCTTATATTCTTGTTCTACACCTTTTTAGTTGTGTAGAAATAATAATCTTGAATTATTAAGAGGGATTTTTCTAGCAGAGCAGGCTGTTCAGAGTGACATCAATGAGTTAGAGCGTGCCTGCTATTTATGCAGAGGAATAAGGCTTCGTGCCTTTGGAGAGACACAAAGGCACAGATTCTGTACCAGCTGGAGGCATTAGCAGCTGAGCATCAGTTATCTTTCTGAACTCCCAGGGATATGCTCAGCCCTAAGACCCTTCTGTCCTGAGGCAGAGCAGCTCTATAAGCACCAGACTGTCATTCTCCCAAAGGGACAGATAGCCCTGCATACCCGGAAAATTTTGTGCATCCTCATAGTAGCCGAACAGAAGATAAATCTTGTTAGAAGCAAGCGAAGAAATTCATCCCCAAAAAATTGAAGAAAGGACTGATCTGTAAAGAAGGCAAAGAAAGCTCAGTTAAGAAGGCATTAAAAAAAAAAAGGGAAAAGAAGAAAAGAAAAAAATGGGGGAAACTACTATGAATACATGTGCATTCCCCTTATTCATTGTTGTGATCCTTGGAAGGCTGAGCAAGACAAGCCAGCGTGTGCTGAGTAACTTGCTGGGTTCAGCTGTGCACCTCGAGGCACGTACCGATGGACCGGGAGTGGGTCAGCAGCTGGGCAATGTCTCGGTTGATTTTTCGAAGGTAATCTTGGCACTTCTCCCACAGCCCTCTGCGCATGCTCGATAATCCAGAGACAAACAGGAATGCCATTAAAGGATTGTTCAGAAAGAGTGTGAAGAGGCTACCCCGCTGAGACTGATCTAAAAAAAAAAAAATAAAATCAATCAATCAATAGACAAAGAGATACATTTAGCACATGAAATAGAAAAGCTCTTCCTATCACAGAACGAAGCCGCTCACCCACTAAATTCTGTAACAGAGGAACTACTCCTCTGTGATAGTTCCATCTTCCCTCCTCTGGAGGCAATGACTGGCAAAAAAGGCTTACTGGGGATGGGCATTAGCACCAAGAGAAAGGAGGTTTTTCTCATGAACTGTGGGAGGCCTATACCTTCACTCTGAGCACATAACTTGAACACAAAAGTCACAACTGACACAACCACTAGGATTTATAATCAGTATCTCCTGAAGAGAAACACTAAACATGGACATTCTTATTCCATTAAAAAATCCAGGCTGTCGAAGCCATACACCCTCCCCAAACTCCACACAGTTGCCCTTTTGTTGGGCACCACAATATCCTACAGCCCATTCACTCCACACAGTTCCACAGGACACACAGCAGTCCCAGCGTCACCTCACTCAACAGGGAAGTCCAAAAGGAAGGCAACGCACGTAGGATCATGTGCCCAGACAGTCAGGCCACTTCCTCATCCCACACATTCTCTCCTGAAACTTGCCTAACATCACTCTCTGGGGCTTAAGCCAGATCGTTGTACTTGTCTTTGTGATAGATAATGACCTTAACACAGCAAATCCCAGTGAGAAGGTCTGGACTGATTGATATTTTATTGTAGTCACAAGGACTGAAGAATGTACAGTGTCATTGCCTGCTCCTTCGACAAACACACCTTCTCAGGGCACACAAAACCAAGGCTGTTCCTTAACCCTCCGAAATCTGAACAAGATCTGTGAAGATTTTGCTCTACACCTGGCACTTGAATCTGACCTCGTAACTGACTCTGCTCCCTTTCTGGGACTAATAAAGCTGCCCAAAGTGCTAATTATCATCACCATTATCCCAGCACTGGGCTGGCAATTTTCTGAGTCTTTGTGTAGGAGAGACTTTGCCTCCTGGCACTTGCTGAAGCTATCTGTAGACATACCACCATTGTTAGAATAAATGATTTGCCATAAACAGTAACTAAACTTTATCCTACTACTTCAGGGGACGTTAATCTGATTTAGGGATTACATCGTGACGAAGAGCTCTCTGTTCCTGAACAATCTAAGTCCTATTTGTTTGGGACAGACACATGATGCAACTGCGACTTGTCAGGAAATGCGATACCACACATACCTTGTAGTGCTTTTGGGTATGCTGTTGGAGACAGCAAGCACACCAATGGTTGTCCAAATAAGTTTGTGAAATTCTGTAACAGATAAGAATTTTGAAGTATTGATGGTCATTTTGCTTGCTTGTGGACAGTCAGCAGGTTAAGGGTACGAAGACTATTAACGACAGAACACACTAACACCCGTCACACAGCTCAGTCCTGGCAGTAAACATGACAACTTACTCAGAGCTTACAGCGCACAAGGACTATAACCATTACATTTTAAAGCAATTATAATTCTCTCATTTCACTGCTACTGAGAGCAGGCACTAATTTCATGGAAATATGGCTTTCAATAGTAATACATTACTTGAAAAAAATAATCACATTCTGCAATAAAAAGGAAAGCCATTTGCTTTCAGGTCAAAATAGATCTAGCATCTTTCCTCAATACCAACTGAACTATCCAAAGTGATTTATTTCCCCTTTTCTTTATAGCAGGAGGAACTATTTCTGATGAAACAGAAGAGCCCAGTGGAGCAGAGTTTTAAATTAAGTTTCCTTTAAAGTAAGTACATCATAACCTTATCACACGCTATACTGAACCCTCATTTTACAATACCCATTTCACGCACCTTCTACCAGCACCTTAAGTATCGCCCAAGTGTCCTGTTGCAGCAGAATTGCTCCAGAAACCTCAAGTGATGCCTTTGTCCAGTTTCACCAATATTTACCGCGTAATATTCCTACTATGTATCTGTCTGGTAGGTACGCTGATGCGTAATGATTATCACCAAGAAAAAAAGTTTTCATTTACACCACCTCATCAGCTGTCATATGTCTCCCTGAAACAGCTTTCTGAAAACTGAGGGCTTGCAAAGCCCTAGAAAATCTAAGTGCTCAGGTCTGCATCCTGCCAGAGCACAGCCTGGAACCACACAGCCAGAGCACCTCAGCGCAACACACAGTGCTGCAGATTAGAGTCTTAAAATTGGCAGGTTGTGAATGTAAGGTGTACATCACCAGAAGTATTGGCTTGTGTGGAATCATCAAAAAGCACATTTTTTTTTTAATTCCTTCTGGGTTCTGGTTTAATTCAAATGGAACTTTTCCTTCTGGGCAGTATATTTCAATTAAATCAGTTTCCCTGAATGAATTTAATCTAAGTCTGCTAACTACTACAGACAGTAATTTAGTCTAATCAAAATAAAACATTTCCCATATATGACAGAGTGCTGACTAGTCCTAACCCCTTCTATTTCATTAGGAGCCCAAGGGAGATTTCCAATGCTAGATGCTAAGGTTTCATCTCTAATGAAGAGACGATGACTATGGCCACGAAGACAGTAACTGCAGGCCAACCCAGGAATCAGTAAAACTGGATTATAGAGCAACATTTAAGACTCCAGGAGAAGTCACCCCAGACACTGCCAGTTTGAACTGGAAACACACCAGCAGGTTACATGTTCTCCAGTAACATCTATGTTTAGTGTTCACAAGCAGATTCCCAGGCTGAGCTCCATCTTGTACCACCAGCTACAGACCCAAGCAGACTTCCCACACGCAGAGGAGCACAGGGTGCAGCAGAACACTCTGCACTCTAGGTGTTGGTGGCAGCTCTGGATAAGGAATGCCCTACTTTTCAGTGCATGGACAACTCCAAAAAGGGTGAGATACATTTTTGTTTCAAAATCAATTCTGTTTTTTCACTTTAGTATTCAAGTTTTCCAACAAAAGCATGGCTGCTTTTTAAAACGTGTGTCATATACGACTCCCTCCAAAAGAGAACTACCCATCATCTCCAAAGGAAGTCATTTCAGGTGTAAGCTTTACTGAGCTGAGCATTTATACCATGTCACTGACAAAGGCCTTGCATCCTTACTGACCAGAGTTTTTGGTTTGGTTTGGGTTTTTTACGACTTTGCATTTGACCATAAGCTTAGACAACCACAGCTACAAAAAGGTATGGATTTAAAAATATTATTTTATTTACATCAGTGGTACCTTCAAAACCACAGCTGCCTATATTTAAATGGAAGTGTTAAAAAAATAATTCATAGTTTTAAGTAGATATGCTCGACTTGCAGTTATCTTCCACTCTCAGCTAAATATACCGGGGAGGAAACTGCTCAAGTGCCGCTGATTTGACAAACTGGGAAGTCAGATCCTGGCAGGACTTTCAGCCATCCCCACTGCAGCCTCAGAGAGAGGGAGGGGATGGGAACGCCTGCGGGAGAGCAGACGGGTGCAGAAGACGTGTGAGCGGTCACTGTTAGTGCCAGCACTGCCAGCAGTGACATTTAAATGTCAGGACCACTCCTCTATCAGGAAAGATGAGAGCAGCCACGTGGAAGAAAAGTCCATACCCTGACTTCAACTTCTCACCCGACCACACAGAACATCTTTGTCTGAGCTGGTGTTGAATCTACAAAGCACCTCCCAACACCCAGCACAGAGGCACAGGACAGCGCTCTCAGGATATGCTGGTGACAAGGGACCAAGCACGTCAGCCACACAGAGGGACAGACAGGAACTTACAGAAAACACCCAGATGGAGAATGGAGAGCTCTGCCATCTGCCTTGAGCTGAAAGCAACCCAAAACACCCAAAGCCCTCCCCACACATCTCCCTGCCCAGGTTCAATGGCACCAGTTTGCAAAGCTGAATGCAAGTTCTCAAATGCTGAATATGTTTTTTTAAAATAGGGGTCTTCCCTCCCTCCCCCCATCATTCTCTTGTGAGATTCCTCACAATTGTGTCTGCACACTTCTGACCTGGGTCAGAGCTCCTGGCAACCACTTCCATAACCCTGTCCTGAAATACTTCCAAGACTCCCATTTCCATAGTCCTTATGTACCAGCAGAGCCAGTCTCACACCAGCTGCTCTGTGCTCAAGATTGGAGGATTTTACACCACTGATGGTCAGTTCCCTGCAGAACCAGGGCAAGAAACTGACCGAGGTTACAGGTTTTGCTTACTGTGTGCCCAAAAAAGCCAAAGAATATTCAATGATAAAATTTAAATGTAATACAATAAACAGATTCTACAGTAAGGCTTGACAGTTATTCTCACAAGAGAAAGTGAGATGTGGGATTCTCATGTGGGAATCCATCACCTCCAAAAGATGCTCTAAAGCTGTGCACAGAACTCTGCCACGGGCAGAGCTGTATCTGAATGAAGGATCACCAGGAACCCCTTCTTCTCTCTTACAGAGCTGACCCACTTGACATCTTTCAGGAAGGGAGTAAAAAAAATCCCCAAACAAACCAAAAACCCAAGCCACACTTTTTACCCTGAAACCAAACCAACTCCCCTGTTTGTTATACTTCAATTAATGTCAGGAAAGAGCAGAGGAAAATAAATCCCTACCAAATCCTCATTTTCTCAGAAAGACAAGTAAGCCATTCTAACTGTATTTCCTTTCCTTTAAATGGGGAAGGGAATTTAATAAAAAACAGATTTGCACTGAAATCTAGTGTGGCGACATTAAAGGCTGCAGTATTTAACGAGCCCTTTGAAAGGCATTACAATACAGCAAATCAAAAATCCTGTAGGAGAGGCCAGACCATTACTGAGACTGTCAGATAAAGTTCCCTGGCTCAATACACAACTATTCCAGTCCTACCAATCTCTGGTTTAGAACCTCTCACTGGCTAACAAATGCCTTTCTGACACACGCCAGCCTGTGGGCAGTGAGGAGGGAACAGTCCATCCGGCCACTAGACGTCCCTGTTCTCCTCGGAAACGCAGCTGCCAACCTTCATTTTTCTCACTGCACATAATGGAGCTATAAAAAGGAAGACAGAAGGAAGTGGCACTTTCCCCAGATACAGCCCATTCTTAATATTCCATTCATGAACTAAATAACTGTCGGAATGCTCTCCAGATGCAAGTGGCAACTGAGACTGGAAATGCCTGCTTCTGTATTACCCAAATGCAGCCCCCCCCGGTGATTTGCAGGGAGCAATCCTACCCTCAGTGCACACCCCCTGGGGAGGGGGCTCTCTGGCCCCACAGACACCACTCTGCAGTAACACTGCAGCCTAATTTGTGTCTCCATATTTCCTTGGTTTGGATAGTTCTCAGACACAGACACCCCATGTTTTATAAGATCGGGCTCAATGCTTTGACTCCTTTCTGTTGCTTAAAAGCAACTGAGTGTTGGATGACTGGAAAAAAACCAAGCAGATTAGTTATCTCCCTCCCCCATGCACACACACCATGTCTTTGGTATATAACAAAAATAAACCTCCCACCAGAGACCTTGGAAATCTTGAACCTTTTTTCCCTCCAGGAGGATTTATTACTTCCCAATGAGCGGCTGTTCATGTGCTTCTCCTTCTCGTTCCTATTCATAGGATCAGATCCTGACTAGCATGCACAACCTCAAAAGAAAAGAAAGACTGAATACAAACTGTTTAAAAAAAATAGCCCGTCAAAAGTGTAAGCTAACTAGGGGTTGACACTGTGTCCTACCATACCAGGAGCACCTGCAGGAGCCTTACCTTATAGGCGACGCTGTTTGACGAGTCCACAATGATGAACAGGGGCTTTCTGGTGAAAGGGTAGAGATCTCCGGGGTGAAGACTGAAAAGAGAAAAAGGGATGAGGCTTCACGGAGTGCTCGTGCTGCCGCAGGGCTGTGACACTGCACACATGTCCCCACACACACGGCTGCCTGTTCATCGTGCCCCTGTCCTCAGATTCATCCCCAGAGAATAGCTGCCAGAATAACTTGGCATTCTCTTTAATCGGGGCTATGGGACTTCTTATTAGCTCTTTCCCAGAGATGTTTATCTTCTTGAGAACTCATCCACCATTAATTTGAAGTTTTCCAGTAATAAAGAATTGACGTTGTCATAGTAATACTTTTTGAGTGTTTACATCATCATTTAGAGTCGTATATTCATTTCTAATGTTCAATTTCAAGCCAGTCTGCATTATGGTGTCCTGCACTGAAGAGTCTGAATTCAAGAGGCTTCAATACGTTGGGTTTTTTCCTATCAAAGGCAAATTCTTCTGAATTTGCAGTTGTCACACACATGAGACTCACCAGTGCATCTCCTTGTAAGACTGGTTTCGCTTGTGAAGAGCATCCCCATTTATAATGTCCCGGTTGCTGTTTGTCAGGACACCACCAAAATCATACGGACCTGCACACGGCAAAAGAAAGCTGAAATCAGCAAAGGCAACTCACCTCCGTTACGGGTTTAATGACTTTTATGAAAGGGAGGAAGCAACCACAAATCCCAAAAAATTAAGTGAATCTGAGCTAGTGCCATTGTAGGAGGGGATGAAGGAATGCGTAAACTTTACTAATTAACTATCCAATTTAATGCATTTTTAGTAGTTTCAGGATCTATTAAATAGAAGCAATCAATCCAATTTCATAACTTCTAATTTATCTATTTGCTATTTATTCACAAACTTAATACAAATTGGCTCTTGTTACATAGCAAAAAGATTTCATGCAGAAAATCAATACCTTTGTAAAATTACTATATGAGGCAGCATATTCTGGATTCAGAATTTGATCAAAAAATAAGGCTAAATCAATCAAAAGCCCCGGAGCCTCTCAGACCAGATATAATACTGTCATCTGCAGTTACAACACTGCGAAGGGGAGAAAAGAGAGCTCAGAGAACGAATATGCTCCTAAATACTCCTAGAAAGGACAAAACAACTTTAAGCAGATTTCAGATCTGCAGCAAAGGTTTTTTTAAGATTTCAACTACAGAACTCACAATTTTGAAATGCACACAGCCTTGGCACGCGTTCCTAAGGCAGGCTAAAGAAATACTCTGCTAAGTTTGCACAACTGAGCTACCTGCCTGTCTGATGGAGAGCAAACACTACAGTAATGGCTATAAAAAACAGCAAATGTCCCACAAAAAAAAATGTGTTAATGATACCGGGAAATATTTCTGCCATTGATATGGGGATGAAATGTCACTAACGTTAGTAAAATAAAGCATGGGGATTTCCTCATTCTGTTATACATTTGCAGGGCTGGTTGACCCTATTTGGCCACCGAACACAACTTTTTCAGGTTTGGATCCATCAGACACCTTTCCATTTTAAGGGAAGCTTGGGGAACACAAAGTTAGGAACAGAACACACATTAATTTCACACTGTTACAAATGTCTTGCGTGATATGTCAGACACAAACGGATTACAGGCAGTGAACAGTGCAACTTGCAGCTGCTCTCCCTTTTAATAAGGCAGAACTCTTAGGTCTGTACGGACTCCGCCACCTTATTGAAAGGCTGCAGTGGGGAGGAGAGGCAGTTAGTGAGAGATGAAGTCTGACTGCACGGCTCTGGAATAAGCTGAAACAGTCCATGCAGTGAAGCAGACAGAACACAGGCTTTAAAGAACACAGGCGGGTTAGAACCTACCACCAAGTTGCAGCAAAAAGTAAAATGTTAAAAGCATCTTAAAAAATCACTGCCGCAACCCAGAGCTGACAGGGATTTTTTTTTCCTTTAACATTTTGAGTGCTCTATAAATCATGCATCGGGGTGGACACCGCATGCATCTTATAAAGGAATGCAAGTCTCAAACAGATGAGGCGTGTACAATATTTAGGATGTTAAAAACTTTTTTTTTCTTTTTTTCCTTAAATTGTATAACCAGATCTTTTGACTGTGTTTGCTTCAGCCAACCAGTTCTCAGCTTTTAGATTGCAGCTGCATCCAAATATTCTGCTAAGTCGCAAAGAACGGGAGGATGAGGTGAGGGGAATTGTCAAGAATCATGAGAAGGGCTTGAATTGTCAGGCTACCCAGCGTGCAAATCCACCGTCCCTGCAGACGCTTCAGCCCTTCCACCACCCATCTCCTGAGCAGAGGGTCTCGTGGTACCGCAGATTGGGAAGAACCACCAAGTGCCATTTAGCCATTTTATTGACTTTGCGCTGATGCATCAACTGAGCCACGTGGTCTGCAAGACTGGTGAAGCTTTTAATACTTCAGATGCATCAACAACTAGATATGTCCTTTGAAAAGGTCTCAGGTTAATGCACACTAATTAAAACACGGAGAATTAACTATTGTTCGGAGGGGGAAAGGCTATCTTACTAAGTAGATAGGAGAGTAAAATTGACTTGTCTTTTAAAAGGAGCTTTGTGACATCTTTCTTGGTCACTTGTCCTGGAACATAAAGAGAATTCAAGCCCTGTTCATGACAGGGAGCATTCCTTTATTGTACCTTCACTATCCGAACGACCTGATGGAAACACGCCCGTGGCAGACAAGTAAATCAGCAGCACACTGTTTGCAGGCAGCTCCTGGAAGTCGGAGAGAGAGAAGAGTGGCAAGGGAAGAAACGTATGAGTTGATTTTAATATTCAGTCACCACCTTCATAAATACTTTGTCATTTAAGATTGGGCTATTCCTGGCATCCCTTCACTGTTCTTCCTATGTCTACATACCGATCCCCGCCACAGACACCCCTTCAAATAGATACAGACAGAAATGGAAACTGATGATACATTCAAACTTTTTTTCCCCACGCAAACCTCTAGGCTGATATCAGAGGTTCGAGCAGCATTTAAAAAGCATCTGCATCCACACAGACCCTCTTACTGCCCAGCCAGGTCTGAGGCTTTCCAAGATATGGAAACCAGAGTCGCCAAGGTCCATACAGACCCCAACTCCCAAGCAGTGCAGGATCCTAAAGGAAGTTCTTTATTTCCAAATACCCCGGAGTCTGCAACATCTGCCTCTTCCCCCCAACTCTTCTCAGTGGGAAAACAAGCAGAACACACCCAGGTTTCTGCACAGACCTGTAAAAGACATCTATTTCCCACCTCTATAATGAGCTGTCTGCATGAGGAAACAGATGCTTTTGATTTCTGCAAGAGGCTGAGCGCGCAGGCACCCAAAATCCTTAGTAAGGATGCACTTCCTTCACCTCACCAGCTGTTCCTTCACAGTTGTTTCTTGAAACAAACTGGAACTTGTTTCTTTATAGGATCCATATTCTGGTTTTACTACTAAATCCTAAGTTGCCAACTTTTACAGTCATAATTAAGTATAATGAACCCAGCAACTTTATTAAATTAAAATAATCGCAGCAACTGTATTAAAAAGGTCTACAAATGTATAGACTACTTACATGGAAGAGAGCAGTGGGTAATGAAATAAGACAGGCAGATAAAAACATAGCACATACAGGAGAGAGCTACAAGTCTAAGGGGATACAGAACTGAAGACCTACCAGGAATACACAGTGCTTGAGAGCAACAGCGAGCTGGGGTTCTGTCTTAAAATTAATTTATTTTCTTTCCCTTAACAGCAGTCAACAGATCTGCCTTTATTACACAAATTACACATATGTATAATACTTCCATCCTCTCTGAAGAGGATATTGAACATTTTAAGAAGGCCAAAAAGGTTTCATTATCTCAAAGTGTAAAAGATTATCTTAACCACATTTTATTCAGTGTCACACACCATTTTGTTATTTTTCTACTACAAATAAATTCACCAATTTCACAAACCTTAAATGATGCTGCTAAAAATGTATATAGCTGGCTAAAAGTTGGTTTATAAAGTAGATATTTGTGGGGGTTTTCCCGCCTGGCTGGTTTCTCCGTTGACTCCTGTTAAAAAAAGACAAAACAGAACACAAAAAGCCAACAACAGTATGTTACCAAAGCAGTTTCATGACCCTCCAAATTTCTATTTATCAGAATGTTCATCTTCAACATGCTTCCCACACAACTGGGCTACCCGTGCTGCATTGCCTACTGCACGGAAAAGCAAGATGCAGAGTGTTTGAACCAGAACTTTGTATTATCCCCCATTCAAATTTGTTACCTAAATCCCTCTTACTTCTCTGAGCATCACCCAAGAATAGAGTGAAAAAAATTACTCTTCATCTCAATTAAATAAATGAGAATTTACATATTTCCTTTTGCCTCCAGATAAAATATTTCTTATGCTTTCTCTGAAGGGGGAGTTAACTTCCAGGTGACTTCGCGAGCGGATGGACCATCTGGCTGCCTGACTGCTGGAGGGAGCCAAAGGAAGGGCTGAGCCTATGTGGACAAGGACAGGCATCCCTTCAGAAGTACCTCTAAACCATTTGGGAAATCATGCCCAAATATCCATTTCTGCTATTCTTTTCTACTATTGAAGGTTTGCTATGGAGAAAAAAAAAAATGTCATTACTTGGATCAAACTCCAGAACTTTGAGCTACTCTTCACTAATGTCCAGTAAGAGTTACACCAGCTTCACTACCCTGCTCTGCACGGTGACAGCACTGAAAGAGTTCACCATTTAAAACAAACCAATCAAACAAAAATACCCAGTTTGCATGTTGCCAGGCTTGTCACTTACTTGCATTCCAGGTTTGTTCATTTGTGACGCTAAATTCATTGGTTCCCTTTCAAGTGCTTGCAGCATTCGGAACATATCGATTGTCAACTCACTGAACTTCACCTGCAAAAGAGTCAAACAGTTTATTCTGCCAGATACAGATTAAACTGGATACAGATTAAATAGTATTTCTTTGGAATTATCAAGATAAGAGGTTCAACTGCGTACCAGGCAGACCGCTTTGTCTCTCAGGGATCTGTCAGTATCACCTTTGAATCTCTAAGGACCTGTGAAGGACTTTTAGAAGAGCTCACGGAGGACAAAGTCTATTATTGGTCTATCAGGCCAGCTGACCCTAGTGCAGAGCCCCAAACTACAGACTACTCTGGGGTCAAGTGCTGAAACTGCTATATACTACGAATTTAGACAAAATCTGAAAAAAATACACAAACTGTAGTTTAGATGCAACTCCCCTGCTTACCTGAAAAGAGAGAAGTCATGAAGTCTGCACAACTTCACTATCATCATCATCTAAAAAACAAGATCTTGAATGTCTTTTGAAAACCCCTTCCTATTGCAACTGAACTCGCAACAAGGTGGGGTATGTCATGTGAAAGCCTAAGTCAGGCTTTTTCTATAGGTATCCCAGAGGCCTCTCATGATTGAATGTTAGGAACGATCCAGTATATGAAAACCAATTTTATCTACTTGATTGACATGATGAATGCAAGCAATAAGAGGTCAGTACCACAGGTTTAATATCTAACATTTCATTTTTAGTTCTTGTTTCTGAGAACCTCTTCTTGCTGCGACTGCAAATGTCACAATCAAAATATTTTAATGTTCACCTCTGTTGTAATCTCTATCATGTGACCAGAAGGGATGTCACGGGGGAAGGACTCTGAAATCCAAAGACACAAACCCAAGTCCCTGGCATTTCCTTTACCTGGTTGTTGCAGTTCCCGATAATGAGCGCATCAGCAAGAGCAAGCTGTCCCACTATCATCCCCTGCTCCAGCAACGGAGCTCCTGTTTCAGAAAGCCTGTTAGAGGTGATTACAATGGTGTTGTCATCATTTAAAACCATGACAGGGTCTGCCTAAAAAAAGCAACCAGAATAAATCAGGAACTCAAGAAAACATACAGATTTGCAGTCAGAGAAGTCCAAAGGTCTTGTCACTTCCAGTAAACATTTCATAACTGAAGCAGATTTTAAAAATTCATTTCCCATACATATATTTGTATGCAGGCTGCAGAGTAATGCCTTACCACCTGGAAAAGCAAGAGCTCTTAGGGACTGCAACCAACTACGTGGCACAAGCATGTGAAGGCACAGGAAATAAAAAACCTCATAGTTCCTCAAATGACATTTGCTCTGCTTCAGCTTTTCTCTGAGAAACCAAATGTCATCAACAACCTTACAAATCCATGCAGAATAAACTAAACTTTCCTACAATACAGAAGAAGACTGTATTATTTTAGCTCACCTTCCCTGCCTAGAAATAAATAGCAAAGGGGATGAGGGAGTGATAATGCTGCCGTGCATTCAGGAAGTATTTAAATAAATACTCGTGTTACATAATGACATCTTGTACAAAAGGGGAAAAGTAGAAAACTGTCTCATTTGACAGAATAAAAGAAGTAATCTATTTTCCTTTCAACAAACAAGTCAGAAAGTTTTACCAACACCTCAAAGGGAGTGCTATTCTCACCTCAATAAACGCTGCCACTTCCTGAAGAACCAGGTTCCACTCCACCTGATCTTCAGTATTGAAACGATGAGTATAGTCTTCGATTTCATCTGACAGCTCCTGATGTAAGAAGTTCAGAGACAGACATAGTAACTTCTTAAATTGAGAGCTTAACAGGCAGGCAGTAATTTTACAATTTGGCTAGCTGTGCTGGCCTTTAAGAATAATAATAAAAAAATAAATTACTTGAGAACATATGCAGCACGCTTATGACTAACATGCCAGCCAAAACGCGCTCTTTCAGGAGACAGAATGCCAACGTTACACTGAGTTTTGGCAATGCAAAGTGTCTTCTAAGTAGGTTCAAACGCAAAGAATCTCTGGAGTTAAGTATAACTATCCCACTCACGTACTGCTATGTCACTGGTTGTTGCCATAAGCTTGGATACTAAGGACTCAAATTTCAGCTTCCAAGTAACTGTAAATACATTGAGAAAGTGAATGGCACGGCTTTTTTAGCTGCTGCTAAGCCAAGCCAGCAGTTCAAGTGAGCTCAGACACGACGACAGCCTACACAGAACTGTCAGTCCCAAGGCTGGTTAAAGGGGACCTCCCTCTCCAGGCTGCAGTGACTGGAATATTTTTACTTGGCATTCCAACAATGCTATCAAATCATTTCAGCTTAAAGCATCATTATTGAATGTCTGATTCACAGAAGATATTCACTGTGTTGGATGTCAGATATAATAGAAAAGCAATGATGAACACCGGCCTGTGCTCTCTTTGTTGTACCTAAAGACTCGTGTTTATGGGCATGTTGTGGGCTTTACTCCCACAGCAGAGGCAGATCCAGCCTCCCCAAGTTCATAATAACAGCTACATCATTTAGCAAGGTTTAATGTGGGTCTCTGGAAGGTGCAGGATGTGGTCTAGACGTGGGACAGAGCAATAGCAATTTGGAAGGGAAGAGAAAAGAAAAGCTATGCCACAGCAGCAGCAGCTATCATCATTGATCTAATGAGTGCCACTTCAACTGAAATAAACTATATTATGGATTCCTTAATTAGCAGAAAAGTCATGAATAACCTGTAACCTCCCACCCCATCGCACCTTTATCCTCATCAGAACATACCTTTACAAGGTCCTTTACAACATCCATTTTGTTGAGCAAGAGACAAACCACTATAAACCTTGCATAGTAACGCAGCTTCTTCACCACTAATTCAGGCCTAAACACAACAACAAAAACACCATGGCCAAATTTGAGATTAAAATAGAACACAGGCAGGCAACAGGGGTAAGGGAGAGGAGGAGCTGAAGACCAGAGCAAGGCTGAACTCTCCACACATTAAGAGTTCTAACTGAATTCCCGTGGAGATCAATAGCTACCTGGCTGCTTAGAGGTTAATTTAAAATTGAGTACAGGGACAAAATATACACCAAGGAAGGCACAGCCTCCAGCTTCCCCATAGCTCCTCACACGAGGACAGGCCTCAAGCCCTCCGAGAGTTCCCGGGCACGCTGACCCCAGTGAATCGCACAAGGATCACCCCTGGCTCTGAGCTCCCCCACCTGGGACAGCTCAGAGATCTGCAAGTCAGCACAGCCCATAATTATCCATTCCTAAACTCTTCTGACAGCATCTAGAAACATGCTTGGTCAATCCTACCTTGTGTGAAACAGCTCAACCACTCAGACTGAAACCGAGAGATTTTTAAGAGAGAAGATAATAGGATCAATAGGTATCAGAACAGAGCAAGGAAACTTTCGTTTTTTGTGGCACACGGGTGCCTTTAGACATCAGCAAGACCAGAGATGAGCAGTTAAAGTCCAGACATCCCTGAATGCTTGGCAGGAAACTCCCTAACTAACCATCTGCGTTTCTCTTGATGATGACTACACATCATTTCTTCTTTAACTTTACTGTAATGAGAGAATGCAGGTTTACTGGCTAGAAATTAGATCAGGATCCAGAACGGAGTTCTCTACCTATTTTTGTTTATATCTGTCTATGTTCTTGGCAGACAGCACATTTTCTGCACTACCAACACGCAGCCCTGCTTTGAGTGTCCCTTTCTCAATATAGTGTCTCAAAAGGAAGACGTTACACCTCCTGAAGCTCTTGGACCTCGTCCCAGGCAGTCACAGAGGGCTGCTGTACTGCAGTCCTAACTGACGTGCACCTGAAAAGCCTGATTAGAACCAATCAGGTTCCTCTGCTTCAGCCCAACTGCCCTACCTTCCAGCCACAGCATACTAGGTCCCAGCACTGACACAGCTCAGGACTCAAAATGACAAAACTTTGGGGCTAACAGCTTTCTAGCCAGGAACAGACAATAGAATATTCCTCCAGTCCTACAGCAAACCTCTCCTTGAGGTTTTCAATCACAGCAGTAGGATTAAAAGAAACTTCCTTCAACAACGCTAATGTTACCCCAGTTATGCTCCTACCATTTATAGTTATTTGCTGCTTTCATACACTGTTCTAGTCTTGAAAAAACAAGGGTGTTCATTCAGACATACCTGTCTTCTTTGTTGACTTGGGAGTAGTAAGACCTCTGCCTAATTGCTGAATAGAAGGAGAAAGCTTCATTGAGATAGCTGGTTTCTGAAGTGCGCAAGCTGCAGAGGAAGACTCAGATTAGCTCAGTGCTTCAGATGAAATCCATGCCAAACCCTCCCCTCCTGCCCCTCAGCCATCCTGTGCATCAATGGCAAAACTCCCTCCTCAAGTAACAGCGCGCGAAAGCCAGACTCTCTTTGTGCCTGCTGGGAGGACAGATTTCAGAGCTTGGACTCCATTTCAGATAACAATCCAATCTGCCCATCTTGTACCCACATGTACAGGTGACAGGTTAACTCACAAGTTTAAAGGAACATTAAGCTCCCAAACACGCAGGAGGTAAGTCCTCGAGCAGTATCAGCGCGATGGGCGATGTGGGATGGGGTTCATGGGTGCCTTTCTCTGCAGCACCCCCCTGCAGTCCCAGGGGCCTTCTCACTCAGAGACAGGCATCATCACTTGACATACATTGACTTCTCCTGACCGAGCATCCAGATGTTTGCCACGGAGCTGCCACTACCACTGTGTTCCCCTACTGAACCCTTTTCTGTGCTTACTTACTAATAATGGTAATAGAGCTGCCCAATCTTGGAAGCAATTTCCCCAATTTGCCACCGCTTCAACCCATACCGATTGTCCAATACTTGTCTATTTCGCAAGAGAGAAAAGAAAGATTAAAAGGCATTCCAGAATTTCTCAGAACATCACACCAGACAAGACAAAGAGCCATTGTAGGGCCAAATTCAGCTTTCATCCCTGATGTGGTATTCCCAGTAGCAGCCCCTCACAGAGCCAACAGCGCTGCACACACACACCACAACAAGGGCCATTTTTCTTGCAGGAACTTGCAAGAGCCAGACATAAGTATGTTGCACAAAATACACACAACAAAAGGTCACAACTTCCCAGGAGAACACTCAGGCTGCGCAGCCGAGGCGAGGTGCGAAGCGCAGAGCCCACGCTGCGGCAAGAGGCTTCACACCATTCCAGATGGGCTCTGCGCTGCACAAACCACCCTCCCAGCCTCTCCTCGGGAACGTGTCACAGCAACGGGCGCTCAAGTAGAGCAAAAGGGTTTGTTAAAAAAAAGTCACACTGAAAATTCTGCAACATTTTAATTCATTAGACTGCGAGCGCTACAGGAAGTGACTATTCCCTCCCTTCATGCTTGAATAACACAGTGAAATCTCAATCTTAACTGGGGCTCCCAGGCACACCAGAGATTAAAGCTGCACTTCAATCCACACAACGCGTCTGCCTACAGCATCCCCTTACCGATGTTGCTGTTGAAACTTCCAGAGCTTGGTGTAAACGTCAAACGTTCGCCCAAAATAGGATTGCCACTGCTTTTGCCCATACTGAGGTAAATCCCTGCAACAGAGAAGCAACAAACGCAGAGTTACAGCACGGATCCCAGGCAGCTCAGCGTGACAGCAGCGTATCCGTGTCAGTGTCAGAACAGCTTTGTTCAGAACTGGCTTGAAATGCTTTATAATTCTGCCCGCACCCAGAACGACAAGAACCACGGTTCCTGTGGGGTCTCAAAACCTGCTGTTGCTGGAATCTTCCAGGGAGTCCTGGCTGGCTCCTGGGAAACAGGTATATCGAGAGCTGATTGTAATATCCCCAAAACCATGGCACGAGCCAGACAGCATATTCATTTAACACATATACAAGAAAAGATGGCATATGCATATACATGAGAAAGAAGCCTGTATCGCTGGGGGGGAGGGAGGGATTATTCAGTGCTGTTTCCCCATTATTGCTTCCTACTTTCAGATGAATTCTCTAGTCACTTTTCAAATGCAAAAGGATTAAAGTTATCAGTCGTAATAAAGGTCCCATGCATTTTGCAAATCTGTTTGGGGACACAGAGCACCAACATCTCAAAATGCCTGAGCTCTGCAGGTTCCACACGCAAGAAGATGATGCTGTAACATCAAACCGAAGGTGTGAGGCCTAACAGTAACATTTTGAAGTAAAACTTCTCCTACTAAAACAATAACTAGGCCTTCCAATGCAAGTACTCTAGTTCAACCACTTATTCAAAGAACAGCAGAATTATTCTGGTTATTCTAGTGTCTGTTGCCAGCCAATATCCACCAACCCTGATGTCCTACCAGAGAGCACTCATCCAGCCGTTGACTCACAATCTCCCTGCACAGATCCCTTATGAAAAGCTGACTCTCTCCCCAAAAGATTCAACAAGATGGGTCCTGGCCAAGAGCTTCCATCAGTTACACGGGTAGGCATTCACTTTTAAGTAAGTTATGAAACCTATAGTATATTTACAGTGTATTTCTATGCTATTTATTATGAACATATGACACACTGTGCACATAAGCCTCTTCTCTCCAGATGTGCCTGGGATTCTGGGGTGGTTCCTTCCAAAGGCAGCACAGCAGCAGATGGAAGCAGTGCCCTCCATGAGCGAGTTCACGCCAGTCAAGTGATTAGAGATGTGCAAACACTGGTATTTATGGACAAATACAGTCTACAGAGCAAAAAGGAAACCATGCTCTCTAGCCCCTGTAAACATGCCTTTATCAAGGTTCGTTGACATTAACAGGTTCTCAGCAGCATCAGAAGAACATCGAATAATCCCTCTGAACAGGAAATGACCATGTTTCTACATGCGTTTTTCAACAGGTGATTGAAAACATGTTACTATCTTGCTAAAAGATAAGTAAGATAATTTTATGGTTATATGCATTGAAAGCTTAATTGGACTCTTAAAATACCATAGTTTAAAAAAAAACCCTACCCAAGAGCAAGCAGAATAATCTAAGGGAAATTAGTTCATTTAGACGATAATATTTCTTCCTACTCATTAAGGAAATAATCTTTTTTAAATGGATGAGGCTGTTCACTGTGTTTCAGAGACAGACCCTATAGCATCATACATAAATCAGCTGTGCAAATGTCAGCAGGTCAAGCCAGCACAGGGATGCTCACCAATGACATCCACTGGGGATGGCTCCATCACCACCACCACGGTTGTCACCTAATTCATAGTTAGTGATATGTCACGACCTCAGACCTGTTTTTTTTCTTATCAGGCCCCAGTGCCATGAGGCTGATCTGCTGCAGATCTGCTTTCACACCTCCACTCGATTTCCACGCCGCAATATATTTTCCCTCCACCTCCACCCCAAAACTATGGTCCAGTCCTGAGGATTTTAGCTTTAAAGGCTTGAGCTCTCCATCCTAACAGAAGACCATCACCTGGGAATTACTTGAATCTTGGAACAAATGTGACAGAGAAGACCAAAACCCCTCAGTCTCACTGAGCATGTTGCTTACAAATCTGCACTGCAGCTGATTCCAGGGAGGCACACAGCTCTGCAAGTGGAACTAGAGCAGCTTTTTCAAGACAGCATAGTCTTTCCTTCGATTCAAGAATGATTTCTTCAGGGAATGCTCTCCCAATCACCATCCAACACACAGTCTTCTGCAGACGGGCACAGAAAAGCAGCATTTTCCACTTCCATGGCTGGGAGGTCGAGCCTGAGGGAAACCCCACCTTTTGGAAGCCATGCCACATCCTCTGGAGGCGTGCAACAGGCAAAGCAGCAGGCTGTGATTTGCAGAGCCACGTACCGGCGCTTTTCTACTCACTGGAATTGCTTTAACAGCACCCTCGGTAGAAGAGGAAATTAATATTCCTTTGCTCATCAGCCAACTGTACTTCCCACACAGCTTGAAGGGACCTAGCCTAGCTGGTACATGTAAAATGAATCTGTTTTCAGCTATGACTCGTACCAGCCTGGAAAACCATTCCAGCACTTACTGCTGCTGCTCTATGGAGGTGCCGAGGAATCTGAGCAGGATTTTCCAAAAAAATAAAATATCCTCTCAAACGTGCAATTTGCTGCTCAACACCTTGGAATATACTTTGGTGCAGCAGGGGGTACACAGGAGTGTATACATGTGCTTCAGGGCACCAACATCTTCATCCAAACATAGCTTGTTACAAACACATGCAAATTGAAAGCATTTACTGCAATGAATGATTCACCATTTTCTATTGTTGTAATAGATGTAAACATTTTAGCTACACAAAAGAAGTTAAGAAACTGTCCAATTACATGTCTAATATATTGCAAATTTTGATATAGCAAGAGGTAGTGTTAAATTTAATTAGCATATCCACAAGTTTCAATGTTAAAAAAAGCAAGTGAATACAAATACAAAACACCACCAAAATTGATCATTAAAAAGAAATAATAAAAATCCAAGTTCCCTGGCACTAACTTAAAGAATGACTGAATTAGCAAATTGACTCAAAGAACCCAACCAGTAATAAACTGGGTTTTCTAGGCCAAGCTGCTTCGGACATTTGAGCAAAGGTCTAACATAACGAAACAAGAAAACATACTCTTCTTCTCTCAAACACAGAGAAGCAGGTCTGTGCACAAATTAAGAAATAAGCAGGTATCTATTTGCTGACCGTGTTTATGCATATATCCTTCATCAGAGGAAATACACCCTTTATACCTCACCCACATCCTCCCTCGCGCACCCCTGGCACCCCCTGCTCTGCACCTCAGCTCTCCTCTCAAGCCCAGGCTGACTCGCTGCGCTGCGTTAGTTTTGATTCTATGACAATTAGTGGCATTTTCCAAAGCCTGCGTTAGCGCCGCACGCACGTGCCCGTCGCTGCCCACCGCCCCTGCTGGGTGTCCACACGGATACTCCTCACGCCCCTGCTCCCCTAATTGCAGCTGGCACCGCCGCACAGCGCGCCAGTCCTCCGCTCCCCGGGGAACGGGGAGGATCTCCATGGAAACAGACAGCAGCACTTGTTCTTTTGATAGTATTCTGACATGGCTGTAATAAAACTTCATTTATGACAATACATTACCGTGGTTTCACCACACATTTTTGCAGACAGGAGCTGCCATCGCTGCCATCCATTTACTGTTTTGTCTTCTGAACATCATGCATGTTGCTCCCATGTATGAAGAAATTTTGCTGTGAGAAAATGGATGCATAACCAAAAGAGGACATTTATTGCAGTTTTTTTTTTAAATCAGAGCAGATGATCTGCATTATTTGGTGAGAAATAGGCCAAAAGAATACTAAAGACTAGGCTGATTGCAGAGTGGGTTATTAATACGGCTCCTCCCTCTGAAGGAGACAGGGAATATATGACCCAGAAGCAATTACACACCCAACTTGAGAGCCAAAGACCTATGTTATAGCAAGAGATTTTGCTACTTCCAGATGTACAGAAGGACACCAGAGTAATATGGAGAGAAAAGGGCAAGAGCCTCCTCTTCCTCGGGGGGTGCCTGGCTGGAGCTGGGGGGCACAGTGGAGGCAGTGGCAGGGGCACTCACACGGGCTGCACCAATCACTGCCAGGGTGATGGAGGGAGGGAGAGGCAGCAAGAAAGAATCCAGATGCTGGGGAGGAACTGGAGATGCTTTGATGTAGGACATTTCTATCCAGACAAGGAAGACAGTTACACACCTCTACAACAGCCTCCAACAACAAGGGGAATTCATTACCAGTTTCTTGGCTTTTAAAATATTCCAAACTGGTCACAAACTCAGACACAAACTCAGATGTTCTAAAAGGATGGGTTCCTCACACGGGGCACAGAAGACTGGTCCCCTTGCCACACAAGAGGGGCTGGTGGATACATTCCATAGACAGTCCAGAATTTTATGCAATTCTTGCTGTATAATCTCAGCAAAGACCAGCACTACTTGTGTGCTCATAATTCATTTTCTGCCAGTAGTTCATCCCAGCCGTGCTGTTGGCAGGAGCCAGCTGATACTGGCTGCAAACCAATTAAAGGTGCTGAGGTTTGTTGGCCGGCACCACATGGAAGTTGTCACACAGGGACAACTTCCAGAGCCATAAAGGTGTTGAGAAAGTCCTAGGGACTCAGCAGTACATTTCAAAAAGGAAGGTTACAATAACTGGAAGCTTAACATTCAGAGTTTTAAATACATTCACAGTTTTGACAGGTGATAAAAAAGACAATTTCCTTTTATGTTCATAGGCTTGTAGTAATTAACAGGCTCCTATTCCCAGAGCCCAGGCAGCAGTGGGATAATGGCCTTGTGGTGTAGCTTCCCATCGCCTCTAACAACCTGCAGAGACAGCGAGCACACCAGTACCACACAGTAACTTGCCTCCAGAAGCCAGTCCCTTCCCAGTACCAGATGGGGCACAGCCTGCAGCATCACCTGACACTAACAGGGTCCTGTTGTTTCTAAATCAGCAGCAGCACAGAACAAAACTAAGAGGTTCAACTTGCATTTTATTAGAAGTCTAGAAAATAAATGGTTAAACACCATCACTTCTTCCACGAAAGGACAGCAGTCGTGATCCTTGCAGCCCACACAATGAGCAACAAGACCTTAGCATCTGGGAAAGTATGATATATCTGGAAAGTCTTTTCATTTCTTAAAGGTTCAAGCACTTTTTAACATTAAAAAGAAAACAGTAACTGGTGACAGTACACCAGGAAAAACTGCTTCCTAACACACACCCTCTTTCCATCCTTTTTCCAAGAAAAAAGAAAGCAGGAATGGGGAAAGGAGAGCAAAGAGCAGTTGGAACATACTTCATTAAGGTGTTTCTAACTTATAGCTAGGGGTGTTCAAAAAGGGACTACAGGCACCAGAAAGACAAACTCCCCCCTAGGTTACTCTAGAAGGCATGGATGCAGAAGGATGGTATCACTGGCAGTGTGAGCATGAAGTATACTTTGGAGCAGCAACCTTGGCAGATCATCGCATGTTTTCCTCAAATGCTGTATTTGGCATCTGTATTGGGAAGAGAGGAAGGAAATGCTACTGAAACAAAGACGTGGCAGGCTGAGCCCTTGCATTTTTGGCAGCAGCAACAGCTAAGCAGCTGCCAACACAGCTATAGGCTCAGCTCCCTGGAGCTCAAGTGCCCAGAGGAGGTTTCAGAAAGGAAATCATTGCTCTCCTCTCCCTCCCCCATCACTTCTTTTCCATGAAACACGGTAGACACATGAGAATGGCATAAAATGCAGCAGCAAAGGCCATCATCATCTTCAAAACAGAAGGTGGCAGGTATGCATCAAATGCATTTATCGTATTAGAGGGAAAAGTAAGCAACTGGACTAAGAATTAGGATACTCGCCAAGGTGAACTACCCAGAAGAGAACAAGCTCTAACAGAGGAGGTGCCTGAACATAATAACACCACTTGATCCAGACATTATGCCCCTAGGAATAAGGGGCCTTAAGGGTGAAACAGTGGTCAGGTTCAGTGTGAGAAGCAACTACATTCATTGTGTCAAGTTACAGTGAGGATGGATGTGGGCTCCCGCCCGGTATCTTGTGATTTTTGCACAGCAGAGCTGGCTGCTGAAGCCCATCTCTCTATTTTTATTGCCCAAATTTCATCCAAAGGTATGTTCCATTTTGTTTTCATCTAGCTGGATATAAAGATTTCTTTTTGGCAAAGTACCGCGGATGGACATGGAAACTACATCTCTGATCTAGAAATCGGATACGAGCCCTCACTGCCTCCATGTCCAAAGGAAAACAGATGGGCTGTGTGTACCCTGCCACCTCTGGGATCTCAACTTGAGCATCACCCATCCAGACATGAACTGTATTCAGTTGTACTCTATAGTGACTTAAGCCAACATTCCAAGCAAGCTGTATCAGAAAGCCAACGTCATGACCTATATGGTCCTGGAAATCCTGGTCTCGAGATCTCAGTCCTTTTGCTGTGGACTCTGTCTCATGGGATGCTGAACACAACCACTGGGAACTCCTTGTCTCTGCTGCCCATCCACCATCCAGATTCTGGAGCACAACCCGTTTGTTTTGGATTTGGTAATCAACTTCTAAAGCACATAAAAGGATTATCAATAGTGGGGGGCTGGGGGAAAGGAATTAAAAACATCTTTGCTAACCATCTGTGTTTGAGTAACAGCAAGCTATATGGGCCCAAACATACAGTATTACTCAGAGACCAGTAAGAGGCTGAACTGCCAACAAGATACGAGCTAAAACCCATGTTGTTTAAGAGACTCTACAGCAAAGCTTAGAAATAAACCAGCTCCTGAATACATGATCTGTAATTCAGCATATATTTACATAAACAGGATGCCTATGTCACTGTCCAAACCCAAACATGAACTATTTTCCTTGAACTCCCCTTACTCTTATTCCCCTTCTTATTGGTGCTGACAAAACAGCTCGACTTTCTAGATGTTATTGCAGATGTTTTGTAGATAAATGTATATATTGGCCTTTCTCCGCAGTTCAGATCAAGCATTTGTTTCACCAGACACATAAGGGCTATGGCTTGGATGTTTCTGTTTATCACTTCCTAAATTTCTTTCCCAAAAATATTCCCTCTCCCCATTTCCTCCCACCTGGGCCAATCCTTCTCATTTCTTTTTTTTTTTTTTTCTGGAACAGAGACCATGGGGGTTTGGACTTGCATCCTGCTGACTGAATACAGCCACACCTACTCCTTACATGTGTCCTTCACACACAACATTTCTGTATGAATTCTATCCATTTCACAGAATTTCCAACTTCTGGGGTGTCAGTTAACAGTAAGCTAGATGTTCCGCTCACCTTCCTCACATTTCCTTCCCTACTCTCTCAGAAGAAATGCGTGACCCTCTACTCCTACAGACATCCTTACATACACAGTCCAACGCTACCCATATGTAGATGCACATTGTTCTCTCCTCCACAAACTTACACATTTGAGTTCAAAATGTTCATTGTCCAACTGACTTCGGCATCGCCCACACTAAAGTGTACGTTCTGATGCTTTTCTGAAGGAATACTGTCAAAAATGCACTAACCTTAAGCCATTGAATAGCTGTTTAGATTTATCCAATAAGTAGCAAAAGTCTGTCACTGTTTTCCTCTCTGCTTGAGGAATATCATCTTCAGCTCCTCCTGATGACATGATTTCTTTTAGGGCAAACTCAGTCCTATGAAGAAGAAAATAGCCATATTACTCAAAAATTGAGGGCTATTACGAACTCATCCAGATTAGATGCATGTACAGTTCCATGGGGATGGTAACAAAGAGCATGCAATTCTCCCACAGGTTACTCTTCTCAAGACTCATTAAAAATAACAGCTGAGAATCAAAGCATGGGACTAATTATTGCACAATGCACTAGTTAACAGAGCAAAATTAAAAATAAAAGCGGAACAAGAGTCATAAAATAAAATAACTGAGGACTGTGTTCACAAACACAAAACTGCCAACAAAAGGACTGTCAAACAAGCAGTACGGGGGTTTCACGCTTGGACAAAGAAATCCTCTCTAAATTTGCCTTTCTGCAGAGGTGTTTATCCTGCAGCCGTATTTAGAGAGACCAGCCTCAGTTCTGGTTCCATTTCATTTTCTTCTCTAACTGTTGAAAGCTGAAGCCACTGGTTGCTATTGCTAAAACATAGCAATTTTAGACAGAATGCTAAAAAATACCCTGCTTCCTCTCTACTTCCTCGTGACTGTTTAATTCCATGGCTTGCACTGCCCACAATTATACTTGCAGATCTATTTTTACTGTTCAGATGAGCAAAACGTCATATTGTAATCACCTGAACAAAAAAACAAGATATAACATAGATAATCCTAGTATTGAGTCAGTAAGGGAACAGAAAAGCCTGTAAAGGCAGAGGGGCTTTTAAAATCTTACTTGAAACACACAGATATAAAATGATCCTTTTGATCATCCCAAGGTGAGCTACAGATTTCTCAGCAGCAGCAAGAAAACATTCTCCTCTGGAAATGGCTGCCAGGTTTTTGGCTTTCTGTGCTCTCTAAGAATCGTAGCGCAAGATAAACACACCTCCAACTGGGCAAATGCAGAGCTTTTCCTTCCAGAAACTTCTCTACCGGTTCTGGTAAGCACTTGTGTTAAGCAACAAGTTTCTATTTGTGCAGAGCTCTGTTTGGATGCTATTTGCATAAATAATTACCTACAAGTCCCAGTTCAAGCCAGAAAATGGCAAAGCTGACTCCTTATAGTCATTGGAAAGTACCCTGAAGTATCTGCCATCAATTGTCACAAAAAACCTTCACAATAACCTGACGTCAGAAATACTTCCCTGAACAAACACTTCATGCCTACCAAATGCAGAAGAAATTGGGCGTTTCCCCCAGCTTTGGGGACAAGTTAGTGGGCATACCCTGCCAGCCAACCAGTTCCATCATCTCCCAGTTTAGACAAGATGCAGCTCACGTTCACGTGTCTTTTACACACCTGCAAGCCAGTGCACTAGAGCACTCGTGCAAGGACACAGGGCACACTGCACAAACCACTTGTTGGGAGAGTTCCAGAAAAAGGTAGGAAGTATCTATTCATGGGCAGGGAACCACATATGGGTGCCAGACAGCATAAGAGAGTTCAGAACACACCAACCAGAGGAAAGCTGGGGCAGGAGCCCAGGCAGCAGGACACTAGCACCAGCCTGTGTTTGAAATCTCTCAAGGTACATTCACACAGCACGAAACACACAAGACTGAGTACTTAAAGCCTCACGAATGAAATCAAGGCGAACAGTGAGAGGCAAAACCCAGATGTCAGAAGCAGGCAGGAGGTGGTTCGGGGTATCGGGCAGAGGGACAGTACCCCAGGTCCTGTGTGCTCCGCAGCAGGGGTCACCCAAATCCCACGGCGCGGCCCCCGGCTCTGCCGTGCTCCGCTGGGACCAGGCGCTCTAGGGCAGCGTCAGACGCATTTGCAAAAATTGAGGAGCTTGCTTAAATTGCAAAGTATGTTTCATACAGTCTGTCTAGCATTCCTTTAATTTAAAGTAATTATTTTTTTTTTATGCTACCCTTAAGTTACACTACCCAGGCCCCCCAGCTGCTGCTAAGGTTGCCCAACTGAATGTGTGCTAGCCCCGGCGTGGGGAAGTGAAACCCATGGCAGCTCTCATGGAGGGAGTCCATTAGACCCACCGCAAAGAGATCATTTATGCAATCAATAAAAGACATGCTAGAAAATTCACCGCCTGCCCATCTGGAAAAAAAAACTTTTTTCAGGTTATAGATGATGAAGGTGGATTTTGAAAGCCCACCCCAAGGCCAGGCAGTTCCCCAGGACTCAGCACAATACCCGTTTGTGGAAAGACTGCGTTGGTAAACGTGACAGTTGCACTGCGTATCATTACCCCTACATTTGATATGATTTAAGCAGATGATGACGATCACAAACACGGGATGTCAGTGTCACAGGAAGGTTACCATTGTAAAGGACTATCACCAAACGTGCCCAAACCAGAGATGTGCTTCCATCATTAAGGTGCCGCAGCACAAGCTTTTTGTGTGTGTGTGTCATTGCAAAATTTTTGCAGACCTTCTGTTAAAACTTCTAAGTTTGTTCATGATTTTAATTTCCATTAAAACCAATGCTCAGGAATGGGATGTTGATACAAAAAGACTGAAATACAGCTAATAGTAGTAAAGTAAAAAAACTCATTGCCATGGTTGCTGCCATGAAACCATCCCTACCATTCAGCATTCCAAATATGCCTTTTACCTGCTTCCAATCTGGATTGCCATATGTATTTCATATGATATAAGAGAAAGACTTGCATGTTAGATCCAGAATAAACCACTCAATGCATACTTTCATCAGTATGCTTTGAATTACACCTTCAATGCTTGTTCTAAAATGGGCTTTGAACAGAACTCTCTATGGCAAACTTGAAAAACTCTACCCTGCATCACCATCTGTAGAACCTGGACCTGCCAGCTTTGCAGACAGGCTTAGCCTAACACCATTGTTTGACAAACATTTTGATGGTATTCCTCTGCTCAACCTTAAGCACCTAAACAGTAAGACAGACGCAGAAATTAATCTCATTATCTACTGATGGTTGAAGAGGGAGGGAGGTGACCAGAAAACACTTGATCTAAGACATGAGAACAAACAGAGAAGACTCTGGGTGCTTATGAAAAGCTATTTCATCAGTACACAAACAGCTAAATCACAGTTAAAAGTAGAATGAAACGAAACCTTAGCTATCCACACAATTAAAAAACTATCTCTGTTCTTAATGACCCGAAGATGCACACACAGTTGCCAGTGGGACAGAACAGACACAGCAGACAGAACACCTCTGGGAGGACAGAATGAGTAGCTCCAAATAATCAGCTTTGGACAGTGACAATGGATGAGCTCAAGTTTCACTCTCTTGCGGGATAATTAAAGGCACTTTTGGGCTCTGCCACGTATTGCACTCAGAAAACAGGAGTATTTACACTGGATACTCTAAACTCTACTAAACTCTAAACTATCCAGTGTATTTACACATGTACACGGTACAATGGAAAGTCGTATTGAAAATCCTTTATGGTTATACTTTAAAAGCGAGTATAAGTCCTGCTCAGAATGGACTGGTTTCTTACTCACTACATGTCAATTTCTCTTCATGGTAATTATAAAAAGACACCATACAGAAAATACATTCTAAAAATATTCAGACTGAATCCCATTATGGGCAAAAAGAGCCTTCCCTCTACAAAAAAAAAAAAAAAAAAAAAAAAAAAAAAAGCGTGCTAATAAAAAGGACTCTTCATAATGAAAAGGGAATTCCTGAAGAACACAAGGCCAAGCCTGCGTGCAGTTTTGGAGTAACCCCTCACTTGTGCAGCATCCCAGAGCAGAGCCGACAAAAAAAAAAAAAAAAAAAAAAAAAGAAATAAGGGGTTAAACCAAGAAAGAACTAAAAGCAGTGAAGAATTAAGCAGAGTAGCAATAAGCACGACAATTTCCCCCTGTGAGGTATCTTTAGAAAAGCTGCCAGAAGGTAATTCTTTTACAGATCTCAAATTCAAAGAAACATTTTGGTTTCAGACACGAGCAGGCGCTGCTGCAATTTAAACCCAGGTTTCACTCAGCCACAGCACACGCCTGAATGTGAAGGAAAGATGGGAAGATGGAAAGAAAAAGGCCGAGAGGAGCCATTGAATGAGAGGTGAAGCTGGCTCTTCCAGCTGACAGAGAAGGAGAATAAAATTAGTTATCTCATGCACTGTTTTTGGCTTATCATGCTCCGGAGGGGGTGGTATTTGGTGCTGTACAAAGGAAGAACTACTACCATGAGCAGCTCGGGAAGGGAGGAGGTCTCCCCTGCACTGAAGGCTGTGCTGTAATGCAGCAGCCTCACAGACAGAAGGAATTATTATTAGAAACAGCAAGTGGGCACAGCAAAGGGAGGAATATAGCTACTGACATCGCCCCTTCCTCAGGGACTGCTCAGCTCCACAGGAAAAATATAAATAAATTGCAACTAGTAGCACATCCATGATGTGGAGACCTTTCTCTTTGATACTAGGAGCCTGCAAATCTGTGCTCCTCTTCTGCAACCAGAGAGCTCTCCCAGCTCTGACAGCCCAGCTGTACCACACATATCACTTAATTTTCTGTTCTTGGGCTTTTTACTTTCTTTCATGCAAAAGAAACTGTTGGGCTGTTTTGCATGACTTTTTTTTTTTTTCTTTCTTCTTTTTCCTTGAGGACCACATGTTAAAAAAATGATCTCCAGAGTCTGCAAAAGGAGACACTGAAACGCTGGTTTAAAAGACTGTTAAAATAAGTCAGAAAATGGTGACTTCCAGCAGACCTTATTATTCTCTCAAAGATTTTGCCAACTCCTCAGGCCATACAAGGCAGAAAAATTGTGCTAGCCAAGCACTGCGCTTGGCGTGCCAGGTTCTTTCCAATGCACCCTCAGAACACATAATTCCAGGTTTGCTTAGTACAAGACATGCATAGATTTTACAAATTCATCCCATCACTGTACCTGGGGCAAAGGAGCATCCCAGAGATGGCAAGACTATGCAGAGCAGATGGGGCTGAAGGGCAGCAGGAGGAGGGGTATGGGAAGGGGTGGAAGTTTCATGATGCTAGTCAGTATTTTTAAAGTTATGTGTCACTTACATCACACACGTTTCCACTTCCCTGTGGTTTGCCGTCTTTGGCTAAGGTTTTCCAGGCTCAGCTGGAAGGGAAAAAGAGCGCTGAAGTCACCAGCAGGCACTGCTCACTGGCCCTGTGCTCAGCAGGACTCAGGCGTGTAGAGAAGGCACGCTTTGTGAGCGGTGCAGGAACACTCTGGTCCGAGGGAATGAGGCTGACAGTGAGAGTCAAGCACAGATGTGTGAAATACCTGCACTACCTGCACATCTCCACAGCCACATTCATTACTGGGCCAGGATGACTATAACCTGCCGTGCAGTTGCCTGGTAGGAGGAGGTGGTCATAACTTCCCACCTGACACTTAGAAGGAAGTAAAACCTCGCTGCACAGAAGATTTAGCGATGCTGTAACTGTCTGGAGTGCTGTACCCAGGCGGGAGTCAGGGGTGTGGGGACTGTGCAGTAAGGACAGGTAGAATCAGGGGCAGTTTCCCAGAGCAGGGCTGGCTGGACACGGCACCGAGACCTCCTGACAGAGCATTTATAGGTACAACTCTGCTGTCTCTAAGCCATCGCTGCTGCTCAGTTGTGGAATCCACAGTGTCTCCTGCCTTCCAGTCAAGCCGGACAGCCTCATCACACGAGTATTTAGAGGATAAAAGCTGTGGAAAAAAGCAGTGCTTTATCTCCCTCGCCTAAATGGTCAATTGAAGGAACAACCAGCGTTAGACTTAAAACTCTCATCTTGTAGGACCAGAGGCAAACAATCTCATTACAAAGACTTAGCGGCACTTTTGTTCTGTCTGGTATTTTACCAAGGAAATCAGAGCCCGTAGTACTGAGCCAGGAGTACAGAGCACAGATACTCTATGCACATGATACACAAACTGTCTTTCTTACTTCAAAACTAGAAGAATTGAGTCTTAACTCTTTAGACATGTATACTTTAAACTAATCCTTTCCAAAAAAATCATATTATTTTGTAAGTTTACGCATGAGCACATCTTCCAAAAGCAACTCTTCAGAAAAATCAGAAGGTCACTCATTGTGGCATTAACAGGTGACTTACACGCGCTCTCCATGGCGTTCCAAAGAGAAACACTGTATGTTAAACATTCACACTATGCCCAAGAACAAATTTATTACAATGCAGAGAACTGATCAATGTGACCCGGTGAAGCTTCTTGGCTAAAATTAGAATGAGAATGTGTATTTTATTTCAGGCTCCAGTTGTTTTCATTACTGAGCCTTCAGCTCTGTCCCTTAAACAGCCCATACCCACCTCCCGAACAGGGCAGCAGAGGCACCTCTAACAGGGCAATCCAGGGTGGAAAATGCTGGGGATGGGGATAGGAGGGGGAGGAAAAACATACTCTCTTTTGAAGGAATACTCTTGGTTTTTTCACCCACCCACCTGCAGACAGCAAACTGCAAACCAAGCAGTGAACTAGGGTGGGTTGACTACATTGAAGAACCTTTAGCTTGAGAATCAGAACTCTCTGTTGGAATGCAATGATGTAATACAGAACAATAAACTGCTCTATCAGCTCCAAGTCCTAAATGCTTGCTGATTTGGAGTTTTATTGCTTCCATCAAATACAATTGGCTCAGGATTTACAGTTGAGGCTCTGATTAATGTTAAAATTCTGGAGTTAAGTGGGAAGCACGTTCTTAGACACATGAACTGATGGCAGAGGTAAGTGCTGGCTGCATCCTGATCCACAGCTTCATGGATGGTTTTACCATTTTAATCAGGATATCACAGCACAGAAATATAAACTCTGCTTTTCAGATGCTTCCCACTCCTTACTTAGAGAAGCAAGTGGTAACCAAAAAAGCAAAAGCAAACATACTTTCTACATCTATCTTGATACAGGAATTTCCCCCAACTAAGACAT